ACGGGGGGGGGGGGATGTGGAGCTCAAAAGTACAGAATCCAGGTTAAAACTGAATAAATGTAAGCCACAACTGCACTATGCACAAGCAATATACCCAATCAATGCTCAAACCTCATGAAGAATGGTGAGAGGAGATGAAGATAACACGTAATTAAATTGTTTAAGAATAAAAGCGAACCACCTAAAATAAAATAGTAACAACTTGAATAACAAAATATCAAGCCTCCCCATTTATTAAAGCATCCGAACGAACGACAAAAAATTGGAAGGCGAAAACCACGTGCATGTAAACCAGATCAGAATGGGGAACTTCCTGGTTTGAAACCCAACAAATTTAATCACAAATTTAAGAATTCTTAGACCAAAAATAAAATTAAAACATCTACAATGAATGGGTTATACAAATAACTAAGCACTAATGCACTGAATTAGAAGAAACAATGAATCAGGGAGCTACCTGAAATATCAAGCGAATTCCATCTCGTGTATCAACAGCAACAGGCATACACGACTGGAAATACCCACTGTCAATGATTCTATGAACATCTTCTTGCACTTCCTGAACAGTTAAAGCAGAGTTTGGCCTGCAAGATTTCAAAGCCGAGACTGCAACCCCAGCAAGCTCCTTGTTCTCAAGCTCCTCCCCATCCTTGTTCTGAACCAGAACCTCGCTAATCAAAACCCTCTCTTGATCTTCTCTACCATGACGTGATCCCTTCTGGTGAACCAAAACACCAGGACTCTGGCCCTCGAAGCTTGAAGAGAGAGTAGCCGAACACAGGAGAGGGGATGGTCTTAATAGATAGAATTTGAGGGGGTTTGTGAATGAATTGATGAGACTGTGTAGAATTTCAATGGGGTTCTGTGGACTAAAGCAGGGTGGTCTCATTAGATGCTTGAATTTGGGGGGTTTTGTAAGTGAATTGTTCAGTTTGTGAAGGAATTCATTGGGCTTTTCAGTGTTGGTGAAGAATGGGGTTTTGGGGCCGAGAAAGAACTCGGGGATTTTAATGGAGGATGAAGTGAATCGAACTGGGCAGGCTCTGTTTTCCACCATTAACGAGGGTTTTGAGCCCTGCAGTGGTACCGGAGATTGGTTATTTTCTGTGTAGAGGGCGTTAGTTGGGATTTTGATGGTGGACGATATAAATCGAATTGGGTTACCCTGGTTTTCAGCCATTGACAACGGTTTCGAGCTCTGCAATCTACTCGGAGATGGCTCCAAAATATTAGGGTTTCATAATACTTTGACAGTTTGAAACTTACAAAAAGGTCAGAGAAAACTATGCAGACATTCAAAAACAGAGTAGCCAAGACTCAGAAGCTCAGCTCGTGCAATAAGAAACTAGCTTCACGAGCAAAGCGAGTTAGGACCCAAGACTTACGAGAACAGAAAGAGGCCAAAACATATTCTACTCCCGCGGGAGTATGATGGTAATTTACTCCCTCGGACAAATCTCCACCCCAACTCAAATAAATTTTAGCCAAAAGATACCCCACTTACGCGAGAGTATCATACTTTTTTCTATTAGTTCTAAAAAAGGGCGGGGGAATCTCTAACTCCATTCTTACCAAACAGTAGGGGTTCAAATCTTCATTAATTTATCTTTTTTTTTCTTTTTTAAGTATCATTTTCTCCCTCTCATATCACACGTTCTACGAATACCTTTTAAATCTCACATTTTAAGGATATAACATCTACAACCCATAAACTAATTTCAATAAAAAAATCTAAAACAAATTCTTTGTGTTAAAAATAATAACACCTCAAGCTTGAATAGAGATCGCCCAAATTTTAAAGAACTAGATATAAGTATGACAAAATTTTAAATTCAATATTTTTTAAAAACATATTCATCTAGTAGTTATTATGTGGTTTCCAAAATTTTAGACTAAAATAATCTTTTTAAGTACGTGTTATGTGCGAGGGAGTAGACACATAGTATGCTCCTATACCTTTGCAATTTTAAAATTTAAAATTTAAAATTTTGGAGACTGGACCACTTCAACCCAATGTTATCAAATTGGCTTCGGCTCATGGTCTTGCCGCTTCGATCATATTCAGACCGCTTCGAGCTGCTTATGCCAGAGTCTCTTCGAGTCTGTTTTGGTAGAAGTTTCGGCCTACTTTAGTCAGAAAAGATATACCTATATAAAAACAAAAAACAAAAAAATTTAATTTTTTATTTTTTTATTATTTTATATATTTTTTACACATAAATATCTAGAAAAATCATCACAAATATACCTATATTTTAGTAAAATCGGAAAAAAAAAAACCTCAAATTTTTAAACCTTATCTACACCATTTTCACTATTTTTGACTTTTTTTTACCAAAATGACATTCGCATTAATTTTTTTACCATTACCATAATTTGCAGAAAGGTTCATACGATAATTTATATATTATAATTCTTAGGCATTTTATACGGTAATTAAATTACCCTAATACATTAACATAAAATTAAGGCACTCGAAATATAGTAATATCTTTCACAAATTACAGTACTCCCTCTCTCTGTCTCTGTCTCATATGGAAAAAAAAACCCACTTCTCAGGAGCCTCTTTCCTTAGAATATTTTCTCTCTCAAGACTTCCATAATCAAACTTGCTGCCTCTTTTCCCTTCCCATGCGATTTCTACAGAACGCCAGCAGTGAAGTAATAAGGGAAAAGAGGGGGAGGCGGAGGGGTGGCGAGCAAGAAGAGAAAGGAGGGTTGTGGAAGTGTAGCGCAGAGAGATGTTTGCAACAGTAGTGAGGATGAGGGCCAAGAAGCCCAAGCCAAAGATGAAACCCATACTGCTCAAAACACCACCAGAGCAAACTCACACAATAACCACAGTCATATTCGAAATTGTCAAAGAGCGCGGCCCCCTCACCATCGCTGATACTTGGGAACCTCAAGGCACCATTAACCCTAAATTCACTTCTTCATTTCTCTTTCTCTTTTTTTTTTTTTTTTTTCCAAGATTTCCATTTTCACCTAGTTTCCTAATTTTTTTATTAGTATTTTTCAAAACATCGCCGACAACCTCTCTTGAACCCAACTTTTTTGGAGCCTTGATATTAACTTCGACTTGAAGCTTTTCAACCAATAGGCATTTGAAATTGATCGGAAACGTATTACGGTAATAAGAATACCGTAAAGACTTCCCCAAACATTACAGTAATTAAATTACCGTAATAATAATTCAAACTATTACCGTATTTAACTTACCGTGATACTCTTTAAATTTTTTAAGGTATTTTAATTACCGTAAAGCTTAAAATGTGTTATGGTAAAAAGACTATTATGAAGGTCATTTTGGTCTAAAAAAAATCGAAATTTGTGAAAAATGATTTAGGCAAAGTTTTGAAAAGTTAAGGGTTTTTTTTTCGATTTTACTAAAATAAATGTATAGTAGCGATAATTTCCCAAAGATCTAGTTTATTTATATTAAATTAAAAAAAAAAGCTTGAAGTTTTCCCTCGAACCGAAGCACCAAATTGCTTCATTTTCCTCATCAAACCGAAGGAAACTTCGAAGCGAATCTGACAACATTGCTTTAACCTATTACTTCTATGCACTTGAAAAAAATAATGTCTCAAGATTGAATACAGGTCATCCAAGTTTTAGATGGTAAATCCTAGTGTTAGGAAGCTCAAATTTCAATTTTTTTATTAGGAATAATCATCTAGTAATTCTTTTTGAGAGGGTAATCATTTGGTATTTATTAAGTAGTTCCCAAATTTTCATATTGAAAAAAATCCTCCCAAGTAAATCTTTGGGCTAAGGGAGTACAAAAAAACTATGTGCTTCCAAGCGAGTGTAGTGTTTGTGCTCCAAAAAGAAAAAAAGCCAAATCTTGAAATGAACAGTGTGTTCCATGGGAGCGTACTCCAAGCTTCTTCTCTAGGGCAGCTCTAAATGAACTCAAATCACATATTTTGTTCAAACTTAAACAGTTACGGTGCACCCAAATCTGATAAAAAAATTAGTGTTTTTATGTCGAAAGTCTTTGTGATGATCTGAAAATATATGTTTATCACTAATTGTAAAATTCAAAGCTACTAAATAATGCATATCTCTATAGATATTGAAAATCTTGAAAATGGATGGTTGAGATAATATATTTCATGGTGCACTATTTTTATGACTACAAACTTTTTCTTTTTATATTCATATATCTCGGGATAGAGATGATTAATTGGAAGGTTCTGTGGCATCAAAACAATATTTTCTGGTAGATTTTCAAGGTATGCCTTACTTGTATAGCATAAGGTTAATATCTTATATAATCATTTTACCATTACACAAATTATATTCTAATTAATACATGGTTGAGTAGTGTTTGGCTTCCCTCAGTCAAAACGCACCTAAATTATACCCATAGAAACTCAATTAAAATTCATTGAAACCCACTTTTGAAACTCAAATGGGTGGGTCAATAGAATCCCATTCCAAAAGTCTAAGATATAGCATAGACAGGAGATCACACACAATTGGGAAAGAGCAAAAATTGCAACAGGTTATTTTTTGCATGGGATGCTTTGACTTATTAAAGTAACAAATATACAAAAATTTGTTTTTAGTTTGCAAAAAAATATATGGGATTATATATTATGAAACCATTGGCTTGTGGTATAAGGAGGCCACAATCAATTTTAGCCATTAGATTTGAAATCCAATAGATCGAATTATGTCATAATATTCGAGAAATTTTATTTTGAACTTTGTACCCGATCGATTAATGATACATCGTCAACTACTCGATTTCACAGTTGATGGTCAATAATAGTTGTGACCTCCTTGTATCAAAAGTAAATGGTCACATTATATACATGTTCTAAAATATATACATTTGATATATAAATTTTGGAAATACATACAATGAGACCATTTATTCTTTATACAAAGAGGTTACAATTATTATTGACGGTTGGATGTACAATTTGGTGGTTGATGATGTGTCATTGATTGGATACATCGTCCACTATAAAATTTATTGAGATGATGTGCTTATCGAACTCGTTGTTGCTAACCTATGAAGTCCACATCATAAAAAAAAAGACAAAAAGGGCAATGAATTTTCTCTACCAACCTCTCAATCTTTCTCCATTGTAGCAACAATACAAAGTTCTATGCTCGCATTCACAATATTAGCAGTCCTTTGTTTACAGACACAGAGGTTCATCATTAAGATCTTGACTTGGTGTCTTGGGCCCGTCATAGTATGTTAAAGTGATAGTTTCTTTATTTGCTATTCAAAACCCTTCATTCCTCTACCATGGAGTTTCAATTGGGCAGTTCTGGATTTTTGTTTTGCCCCATTACACAAACTTCAAGATAATATGGCAGAATCTGGATAGGCATCAAACCTCACTGTTTCATTGCCTTTCTAATCTTTGATTCATTGATCGAGAGATGGACGACACCATGAAATATACCTCAACTGCATTATATACCCTGTGAATGCTGGTTTGTATTATCACCAATTGCTACAAACTCTATTCTGTTTGCACAGACATGAGAGGTGTTTTGTAACAAGTTTGCATATTGAGAGAGAATGATGGGAAACAAGATGTGTTATTTTCAGTGAGACTTTTTTCTTTTCTTTTTTATATCCATATATTTAGAGGTCGAGATGATTAAATTAGAAGGTTTCCCAACATCAAAATTCTCTCTTCTATAGGATTTTTTAGCTGCACCTTACTTCAAGGTTGAAACCTTATATAACTTTTTTTATTAATGAAAGGACATCAATTCTGATATTGGCCTTTCGAATTGAGAGTGATCAATAATTCTCATAATTTCTTAGATTCATGACCAAATCAATTTAGTGGAAATTTTGACTCAAATATTTTTTCACCAATAACATTTGTTTGAACTTTTTGACCCCTGTATTTGGAGTGTCCTTTCATGCAACTCATTGGCTTTAATAAACAATTGATATTACATGATCAAAGATGTGGTACTGCTTGTAAAGCGTTCTATATATATTATATTAACATTCCAGATATGGTTGCAAGCAAGAAAATCTCTATTTGATTAGGCTTCTTCTTGTTGGACCTATGGAAGAATTTTTTTGCCTTTTATTATCAATAAGTTGATTATTAGATTAACATTCTAAATATGGTTGAAAGCAAGAAAATCTCTATTTGATTAGACTTCTTCATGTTAGACCAATAAAAGAATCTGTCTTTTATTAACAATAAGTTGATTGTTTTGCTCCTGTTTGTTTCAATTTTAGAACTCGTTTTGGTTTCTAAAATGAATAGGGTTGAAGAAATTGATCAAATAGCAAGAAAACCCCCAAATTCGGGGTTGAAAAACATTTGCAATATTTTTCACAATGAGTTTTTCTGAAATGAGC